ACTGCTGGGTTTTATTTCTAAGCAGTTTTGAAACATGATGGTGAAACCTGAATCTGTTGCTGTGCAGGTTGTTTAACAGGTTGTTGCTAGGCAACCACAGGGCGACTGAGTTAGTTGATGCTACCAGCTAGCTTAGCTCGCTGTGCGGTTGAGCAGCTAAAGCCTTTCCTCTGCCTACATCTCCCAGAATGCTGTGTGGTTCTGGATCAGAGTTCAGTTCATATGGGTGATGTTGCTAACCTGACCCCTAGAGGAGGATGGAGGCATTACCAATCGATCCCAGAACAGGCTGATCGCTGACCGACACAAAAAATCTCTAACAGCTGCATAAAGTCTTTCAGTTCTGTGGGATGATAATAATAATAATAATAATATCAGTATCTGCAGAAACAGCAACTTTTAGATGCTGCTGCTGTTTTTATGCTGAGGCAGCAGCTGCTGAATGGAAGTCATGGAGTAACTTGCAATCTAACATTGTTACTTTACTGATTATTACAAGTAACTTCTTTAAGGAGTAATCATAAGTCAGAGCAACGATCACTGCTCCTTATATATGTTTAAATGTTTCCGTGACATGTGAGGTTCTGGTCTTTGTGTTTCTTCCTGCAGTTTGACATGCTGCTAGGAAAGCTGGAGAAAGATGGCAGCAGGAAGGTAAGATGTCCTCCTCTTCCTCACCTCCAGGCTGCTGAAGCTCTGCTGCTTCCTGATGATGTTGAGACGGTTCCGACCCATTTGGCCTGAGCTGCAGGTCCTGACTGTGTGCTCTCCTCTGCAGCCCGGCATCATCGATAAGTTTGCAGGCGACACCAGAACCATCATCAGCAAAGTGGCTCTGGAGGCCGAGAACAAGGGTCTGTTTGAGGAGGCGGTGAGGCTGTACGAGCTGGCCAAGGTGAGCAGAACCTCAGAACAGCAGAACCTGTTTGTATCGGGCCCATCTGGGCCTGCTGACATGGTTCTGCTGACTATATGCCTTGCAGAACCCAGATAAGGTTCTGGAGCTGATGAACAGGTTGCTGAGTCCAGTCATCGCTCAGGTCAGCGCTCCGCAGTCCAACAAGGAGAGGCTGAAGAACACGGCCGTGGTGATCGCCGAGAGGTAACCATGGCAACACTCGCATCATGGTGCTGACACCTGGTCCGAAGCTGACGCTAACGTCCAAGGCGTTGGTTCCGCATCCTGCTCCCTGTGCAGGTATCGCTCTCAGGGCACAGCTGCTGAGAAGTCCATCAGCAGCACCTTCTACCTGCTGCTGGACCTCATGACCTTCTTCGACGAGTACCACGCGGGACACGTGGACCGAGCCTACGACGTGAGTGAAATGACCTCTGACCCCAGAGGCTGCTGCCAGTGTTGACGGCCCATCTGTCTGCCTGCAGGTGATGGAGCGCCTGAAGCTGCTTCCTCTTAGCCAGGACAGCGTGGAAGAACGAGTGGCGGCCTTCAGGAACTTCAGCGATGAGGTGGGAGGGGCTTATCCATGGAGGTGGGAGGGGCTTATTTCTGGCTCCGCCCACTGATTAGTCCTGGGTGGAGGTTGATTTCCTGCACAGCAGAGGCAGGCCAACAGGGGGCGACAGACAATCTGCCTCAGAATCAAGGTGGATGACTTCAATGTTCTGATCCGGTTGTTTAATAGTTCAATCCCCCAGCTGGCGGGTTGACTTCAGCCCCCTCTAACAGAACCCTTCATGTTTCTGAAGTTAAAACACCAAATCTGCCGACTCGGTTCCATCTTGGCTGAACAGATTTTATTCTTCCAGTCGGTCAGTAAACAGTTTGACCTTTGAACTGTCCCAGGTCAGTAAACAGTTTGACCTTTCTGACCTCAGGTGCGTCACAACCTGTCTGAAGTTCTGCTGGCCACCATGAACATCCTGTTCACCCAGTACAAACGCCTGAAGGGGGCGCCAGCGGGCACACCGGGCCGCTCACCCAGAACCGTGGAGGACCGAGGCACGGTGAGAGGAAATGCCGCCGACGCTTTCAAATTAAAAGCTTATTTGGTGCCAGCAAACTTTAACAGCTGAAATTGATCCGATTGGTTCGTTGATCAAACAGCAGCTGCGCCTTCAGGCCCGAGCGCTCATCACCTTCGCCGGGACGATTCCCTACAACATGGCCGGAGACACCAACGCCAGGCTGGTCCAGATGGAGCTGCTGATGAACTGACCCGACAGGACCAGAACCAGGACCAGAACCAGGACCTGACAGAACCAGGACCAAGACCCGACAGGACCAGGACCAGAACCAGAACCTGACAGAACCAGGACCAAGACCCGACAGGACCAGGACCAGAACCAGGACCTGACAGAACCAGGACCAAGACCTGACAGGACCAGGACCAAGACCTGACAGGACCAGGACCAAGACCCGACAGGACCAGGACCAGAACCAGAACCTGACAGAACCAGGACCCGACAGAACCAGATACAGAACCAGAACCCCACACCTTCTGTTTTCTGATGCCCCATTTTTTCCACTTCCTGTCAGTTTTTTTTTTTTTTGTCTTTTTGTTTGTACCTTCAAAATAAAAGCTTTTCAGTTGTGCGTGTTTTGTTGGACGTTTGGTCACTTTCCTCATGTTTGCTGTTTGTCCTCCATAACTAAAACATCTTACTGCCTCACTGATGTAGAAAATTCATCTATTTCAGCTTTTCAATAGAAAATGTTGAAGTCCAGATGGAGCAAAATATTTCAGAAGTTTATTTTCCGGCTTCCAGCAATTAAAACCCCAAATCAGGTTTATAGTTATAATAATCATAAATAAGGATAAAGCAGGCCTGTTCAGTTATCTCCATATTCATTTTTGCATCCAAGTGTATTAATGGAAAGTTGAGTGGAAGAAAAAAGTGGCAGTTGTGCAACCAGCAGGATGTGTTCAGGGGTCTGGGTCAGAAATCATTTACTGAACGCATTGTGTTCTAGATGTTGATCTTTATTTCCTTTGTCTAAACAGTTTTTTTTGTTTTGTTTTTGTTTTGTTTTATTTGACTCAAAAAATAATGAAAAACTGAAATCTGTTCTAAATGTGCAGAAGGGGACGCTGGTTCTGTTGGACACGTCCACTTTGGACATGGATACGAAATATCCTAACCCCTAATCATCCTCTGACCCAATCCACTTCCTGTTTCCGACAGGAAGTCTCTGATCATAGAGGTAACAACAACATGGCTTGAGCTTCAGGACCATCTCATCAACTGGTTGCTAATTAAATCATATTTTAGTCATTTTTTCTGGATCCAAGCAGCAGATTTAGATCTGGTCGCTGATTGGCTGATAATTTGTCAACATTTCCCTGAAAAGGAAGAAAAACCTTCAGATCATAATTTCAGACTTGATGGTTTTGTTTTTGACAGTAAATCATCCAGAATGTCTGAGGACAAGTTGCTGCAGGCGCGGTGACCTGCGGCATGTTGCCGGTTCCGGTTCGGGGCCTGAGGGAAGCAAAGACAGAAATATTTCATGAACAATCAGATCAGAAATCATTTCAACAGGAAGCAGAACCGGCAGCCGGAAACGTTGGATCCATCAGAACCCGTCCAGATCTTCGTCCTCATCATCCTCCCTTCAGTTCTGTCTGCTGCAGGCGCGTCGGAACCGGACCGACAGCCGAACCTCCTCTCAGACGTGCTGCTGCAGCTGGTGTTGTGAATCAGGCCGATGGCAGCGCTGCCAGAAACCGGCCATTTCTCAACACCAGGGCGGCCGCGCATCACTCATCACGTCACCGAGGGGCTCAACACGGGGCTCGGGGGCCACCTGCGGCCGCCGTCCGGTCAGCTGGTGAAGCCTGAAAGTTTTACACTTTCTCCACTTTTTGTTTGTGTGTGTTTTGTTTTAAGTTCCTCGTGAACATCCAAACCCATGAAGTCCCAACGTGTTGTAGTAACAGGGCCTGGCCAGCATGAGGCGCTCTCACACTGAAACTCTCCAGGAACAGAGAAGGCGACTGGGTTCGTGATTCGGTTCTGGTCTGAGGGGGAAATGACGTCATAATATTTAGCTTTCAAATGAAATATTTAAATTCCTAGCTGAATACTTAATTTGAAAGTTCAATATTTAGTTTGCACACTAAAACTAGCGAATGTTGGAAGGCTGATATTTATTAATGTATGAACAATATGGTGAAAATATGACTGAAAATTAACAGCCTCTTTGCTTTATGAAAGGTTAAATAAAGAAAATTATTGCTGTTCATTTTTTACTGTTAGAAATGGCGCCCAGAAATCCACTAAGTTACAACCGAACCTCAGGTTCTGGTTCAGACTGCATCTCCGCCCAGTACCAGCAGATGGTTCTGGTTCTGACCCAGATAGCAGATGGCTCCGGTTCTGTCCTGCGGCTTTTGGCTGGTTTTAAAATGTTCTGACCCACTTTAGTCTCTTCCCTGCAGATTTCTGACCTGAAAACGATGTTATGTGTGACAGTCGTATGTAAATAGCTGAACCTGATTGGAGGGAACAGACCGGAAGCTGAACTTGGTTCCAATTCCAGCTTCCGATTCGGGAAATGGCTAAAGGGCCATTCCACCTAATTTTTCACTGCCTTCCGCATCTTTAATCGACTCTAACTTAAAGATTACAACTCATAGACTTTTCAAACTTGGACTACATTATTTTCAACTAGTAGCAGAATATTTAGAACCATGTTTGTGATTTATGAAACCTTTTTCTGATTTGTGAAACTTCACTTAACAGACCCCTGCAAAAGATCTGTCCTTCCAACAGCCATCACCATCTACAATAACTCTTTGAAGAATTAATGAGTTACACCAACATTTTATTTCCCATTGGGATTAATAAAGTAGTTTTGAATTAGAATTGAATTTGAAAAAAACTGCATGGAACATATATGAATAGTAATCTGATCTTTAGTGAAGTTTCACAAATCACATAAAGGTTTCACAAATTCCAAACATGGATTAAAATATTCTGCTATTAGAGAAGAATAATCTAATCCAGGTTTGAAGTGTCTATGAGTTGTAGTTTTTAAATTAGAGTCTTTAAAGATGCGGAAGGTAGTGGAAAAATTAGGTGGAATCACCCTTTAGCCATTTCCCGAATCGGAAGCTGGAATTGGAACCAAGTTCAGCTTCGTGGGACAAACTGCAGAGAAGAATAAAAGCTAAACTCTGATCTTTGCCTCTCCTGGTTCCGTCCAGCAGCTGAGTTCTGAATGTCACTCAGTACCTGATCCATTTGGATGCCTGGTAACATTTGATCATTTTTCGGTATTAAAGCCTGTTTTTATAATCAAATCTCATTATTACTCAAGGTAACTACACTGAGGGGTTCTGGTCGGTCCTACTGGTTACCGAACCTGGTGGAGCACAGAGACAGAAATAAATTAAGTCCAACAGTTCACTTTAATTTCAAAAAGTCCAGACTTGTGTTTGTTTTTAATTAAAGAAAATAGTCATAAAATATTGATTTTAAAATTGTGTTGGTGGTTATATAGGAATAAGGCTTGTTTTATTTTCCTTCATTTTATTTAACTCAAACTTATTTTAACTTCTTTCTTAGTGTGCATGAATAAATCATCCATCCATCCATTTTCTTCCGCTTCATCCGGGTTCTCCAGCCTCTTCCAGCTCCTCCGGGAATCCCAAGCCGTTCCCAGGCCAGCAGCGGGTCCTGGGTCTTCCCTCCTCCCGGTGGGACCGGAACTCCTCACCAGGGAGGCGTCCAGGAGGCATCCTGACCAGCTGCCCGAGCCTCAACTGGCTCCTGCAGGAGCGCAGACATATCAAATTAACAGGCCAAACGGGTGTTTAAGGCGCATGCGCGGCTAGCAGGTGAAACCAGGTGTGTCTGATTGCAGCTGTTGAAAACGAGCGGAGGAGAGGCGGCGTCCGGATCCTCTGTCAGCGCAGAGAAACGGAACCGAACCGAATCTACTGATTCCCGGAACATGGGGCCGCTCGGTTTGAAGGTGGGTATTTGGACCGTCAGAACCGACTGACTGGACCGTCAGAACCGGCTGATTTGTGCAGTGTGAAGAGCTAAATGTTGCTCTGTCTTCCTCAGCTGATCCTCTTCGGCTTCATGTGTCTCAGAGTTGAAGGTAAGGACAGAAGAAGTTTTTCTTGTGTGGTTTCCGGTTCGGATGGACTCATCCCGTCCTGCGTGTGAGCAGGAAGCTGCAGCGTGGAGAACTGCAGTGACCCCCGGACCTGCGTCCTGTCCGCGGACCGGAGGAGCTGCCGCTGCGCCGCGGGACTATACGGCCCGAACTGCGGACACAGTACGTGCTCACTTCCCGGCGGTCCTGGTGGCTCCGGACCTCAGGTCTGGTTCTGAAGGCTCGAACCGTTAAAATCATGTCGGTTCTTATTCAGCAGCAGAACCAGCAGGTTTGGACTCATCTGGACCCGCTGGCTCAGATCCTGGTTCTGAGCCACTAGGCATGACGTCACCTGTCAGTGGATTGGTCAGCAAGTGACCAACCAGCGCCCGCAGTTTGTCCCGCAGGAAACGGACAGAAAACATGGCCGCTCGTTAGAAATATGTTCTCCGGTTTTGCCTGTGTTGAGCAGCTGGGTGTGTCTGGATGCTCTGGGTCTAAAGCCAGAAAGTCCCGCAGATTATTTTGTTTGCGGACGCTCCGCACAACCTGCGGGTAAGAGATGTCTGCCGTTTCCATGAAATGAGTTTTAATTTAGAATAAATCTGGTTAACCAGTCAGTCGTGGAGCGGCGCTTCTGTTTGCTTAAAGTTCCAGAGTCGGTTTCTTTTTTTTTTTTTTCACGCTCTGCGGCTTTTTGCGGGTTTCTGTCGCCGTGACGCTGTCCGTCCTCCTCCAGGCGCGCAGGTGAAGGTCCTGTGCGGCAAAGACTTCATGAGCATCCGGGCCGCGGAGGATTTCTTCTCCTACCTGAAGGTCCCGCTGGAGTCGCTGCACCTGCCGAACCGGTCCTGCCGGGCCCAGAGGGAGGTGATCGCCGGGACGCCGTTCTTCATGTTCCGGACCTCCAGAGAGAAGTACCTGGCCTGCGGAGGGAAACCGCTACAGGTACCGGACCCGATCCCACTGCTTCAGACTTTCCTCACCCGTGATCCAAACAGATTCCCTCTCTTCTGTTGCAGAAGAACTCGACCCACCTCCTGTACTCCCTCACGGTCCAATCGGAACCTCAGGTCAGCGGGAACATCATCAGAGACCCGGCCATTAAGCTGGACTTCACCTGCGTCTACCCGAACCTTCGTAGAGTCAGCCTGCCGTTTCCGGTCCGGCCCATCTCCAGGTGAGAAGACCGGTTCCGGTCATCCCGCCACAGTTTGGACCTTCGGCGGTAATGTAGGTCTCCTGGCTGATCAGCCAGACGGTGATGCAGGTGGAGGAGACGGACGCCACCATTCGGATGTTGCTGTTCGCCGACAGCAGCTTCAGCCGGGCCTTCAGCGGCACGCCGACCATAGAGCTGCGGGACCCGGTGAGGAGACGCAGCGGACCCGGTTCTGGTCCGATTAATCTAGATTAACCGAATAATGACTGGATGGAAAAAGGTGACTAATGGATTCTTCCAGAATGAAGCTAAAACTTAAATTCCAGGGTATTTGTCAGCAACTGACCAATCGGTGGTCGCAATTTGTGAGAAAATATGTCCCTCATTTAGATGAACTGACTGGACGATATTGATGGTGTTTATCATAATAATAATAATAATAATAATCAATTTAATTTGTACCGCACTTTTCATTAGAATAAAATCAACATCATAAAAATCATGTGGAGGCAGAATAGGCTTGCTTAAATAAAAAAGTCTTTAAGCCTCTTTTGAAGTGAACCAGTGGTTGCTGAGCTCTCAAATAATCCGGGAGAGAGTTCCAGAGACGGGGGGCAGCCCAGCGAATGCCCGATCTCCCATGGTCCTTAATCTGGAGCGAGGAAGGTGGAGGAAGTTGCTGTCTTGTGATCGCAGAGATCTGGTGGATGAATGTGGAATGAGAAGGTCCTTCAGATAATCCAGAGAGGGTCCGTTTAAACATTGATGTGTAATGACAGAGATTTTGTACTGAATCCTGTAACAGGAAGCCAATGAAGGTCATGCAGAATAAGGTGTAATATGGTCAGATTTACGGGCCCTCAATGAATCCTGGCTGCGCTGGTTTGAATGTATTGGAGCTTCTGAAGATGTTTTTTATGGATTCCAATGAACAGAGAGTTGCAGTAGTCGAGCCTGGAGGAGACAAAGGCATGGACGAGAGAATCTGCATCAGAGAAGGAGAGATGGACGAATTTTGGAGATATTGTGAAGATGAAAGAAACAGGTTTTAAATAGATGCTTAATATGATTTTCGAATGGAAGATGAGAATCCATTCTAACTCCAAGATTTGTAACTAACATGCTGTAGTAAACTTCAGCATGAAGGTAACCAGTACTAAGCACAACATCAACAGACAAGGGTCAAAACCAAGCTTGTCATTTTATTTAAATGAGGAAAGATGCAGCAGTCAGTCATGATGACTGGGAGCTCTTGGTGTAACGGCGGATTTACAGCTAACACTTTATACACGGCAAGAAGATTAACGTTCATATACTTTATAAGTAAATATGGTTAGAAAGATATCAAATATCGCATTATGGAGAAGGTAGCGTCTAACAGTAACCATGGAAACAATGCCACCCAGTCAGGTAGCCTAGCATGTTTGGGAAAAACATGATGTCTCGTCTTCTGTACGTTTTTAAGGCTGCTCCGGTTTCAGGGGAAACGCTGTTTATGACATAGTGACATAAATCATGTGGTGTGAATTCAGGCAAAGTCTGTAATTTGATCAACACGTCAGGAGGGAGGAGGTACGGCCGGTTTTTAAGCTAGCTGTAAATGGCGCCGTCTATGAGCCCAACCAGGTGTTACGTTCACAGACAAATTAGCTCGATTCCAGCAAGTAGAAACCAAGAATAAAATGACAAAAACAACTTGGAAAAACAAGTTTAGCCGCTCAGTTCAATACTCCAGATTCTCATTTCCGATGTACATCATGGCGCTTCAAATGATTAAGTGACGTAGATAGGGTTAGGATCAATACTTGGGTATCCCCTTTGTCATAAATGCTGATTTAAACGATGTAATATCTGGAAGTAATCTGGCTAATGGCTCAAGGCTTCATCCTGACGTCTAAGCATCAAATAAATGCAAATCAGTCTGATTAAAATAACAATACTAATGTGTGTGTTTAACTATAGGGAACAAAAGATCCTCATAGCATCCTCAGTAAAATGCTTAGCTCCCCCTTAGCACCTGATTTCTGGAGCCACTACAACACTAGCGATACCCGTATCAACGGTTTTAACCCGCATCATTTATTTCATGCTGCAGCTTTGAGATGAATCCAACATGCTGTGAAACATTGAAATATTATCCGTGTAGCAGTTTTACCCTCTCCTTTGACCTTTGACCCCCGGCCCTCTCGCTGTTGCAGCTGCATGTGGAGGTCTCCGTGGCTGAGCCTGCAGACTTCTTCCTGCTCCGGGTCGATGACTGCTGGGCCAGCCCGTCCCGGCAGCCCAACGCCACCGGACTGCTTCACAGCCTCATCCAGAACGGGTCAGAACCGGTTCCGCTCCTCTCTGTGCTGAAGGAAGCAGTTCCTCACCCTTCCTCCTCCTCTTCCTCAGCTGCGTGGCCGACCCCACCGTGACCTTCCTCCCACTGGCTGAGGAGCGGGTCGGGCCCAATGGCCGGAGCTCCAGGGTCCGGTTCCGCTTCCAGATGTTCCGCTTCACCGCTGGACCCGCCGAGTTCTACCTGCACTGCAGCGTCCAGCTGTGCGAGCAGGACGACCAGCCGTCCTGCCTGCCGGTGAGCCCTGGCCCGATTCGGTTCCAACCCGGCCCGGTTCCTCTGGTCCTCCCAGAACTTACAAAGTTTTTCTCCTCAGAGCTGTGGCTCCATCAGCAAGCGGGAAGCCGTCAGGCCGCTTCCCATCCGCGGTCTGCTGTCCTACGGACCGATCCGGGTCGAGGTTCCGGACCGGCCCGAGTCCAGTGAGCTGCTCCTCCTCCTCGTCCTTCATCTCCAGGTTCTGTTCTTCATGTCTGCTTTGTTCCAGATGTTCTGACGGTGGCGGTTCTTCCTGTGGCCGCAGTCTGGACGCTGGGCCTCTTCCTCACCCTCCTCATCATCATGGCCAAGGCCGGCAGGAGGCGGGTCCCCGAACCCGAGGGCCCCTGATGGCAGGAAGCTCCAATGAACCCTCTTTCATCACTTCCTGTTTTCCTCCTGTTCACAGCAGCTTTTTATAAAATTCAAAATACTTTCAAGTTCTAGATGTGATTCATTCCAGCCAGAAACTGATGCAGAAAACCAAAAATGTATTAAATCTGTTGTGATGGAGGAACCGGACCAAACCTGGGGGCTCGTGAGGCAGACATGTTAAAGTCATCATGTAGACGGTCAAAAGTTGTTGTTTTTTTTTTGTTTTTTTTTTAAATTTTGCCAACAGAAACCTAATAACTTACAAAATAAAGTGGTAAAGAATAAGGTTGGAAAGAAACTATTCCAATTTTTTAGTAAATCTGTTTGCGCAGCTGCAATTCTACAACAAGAACAGCAGGTGGCGGCCTCGGCTCTCCTTATGAATGTAGGTCAACTACAGAAGGTATGGCAAGCCGTTTGACCAGAGAATAATCAAGTTCTTTCAATTCAGAACGGGCCCAGATTCAGCTGCTTGGAGGTCCCTTAAAGGGCCCGGCTACCTGCAGTTTAAAACCCTCTGTGATCAACCAGGACCGATTCTGCTGGGGCACTGGCCCCGTTGGGGCCCCACTGGCCCCCGTAGAACCGTCCATGGACTTGGCCAATCAGAGCAGCAGCTCCGGAGGCCGTGATGAAGATGATGGTCAAACAGAGGCTCAGAACCGACAGAGTAACCGGGTTGTTGGGACCGGACTGCTTTATAGAACATGAAATAAACAGAATTGGATCTTTGGTTTCTGAGCAGTTTCTTCCCGTTTGTTCAGATTATGACATTTATTTGGAAATAATGCGGTTCTGCATATTTGAACTTTGCTTGTTGGACTGAGACCAGAAGAGGAACCATCAGAACCAGACTCGCCTCGGTGAAGGGATGGAGATAGTCGGGTTTAACGAGGACTCTGTGACCAGGTGTACCTAATAAAGTAGCCGGTGAGGGTACATTTCGAATCCAAGCAGTTAAGACTGGGCTTTTATTATGTGATATAATGATCTGCCATACAGGGAGGAGACCTGCTCTGAAATTATGGATCGACTTTATTCGGGTTTTTCCGTCGTTTTTACCGCTTTAGATGTTGAAATAATGTGACCTGACGGTGTGAGCAGAACCTCGGATAGGTTCTGATCTTTCGGATCCACTTCTCCGCGGTGACGAAAGGAACTGTTGAACTTTCCAGGATCCGGTTCCTCTGAGCTCGGTTCAGTTCGGGTATGTGAGTCCTGCTGCAGCTGATCCCTGGATTGGACCGGGCCGGAGGATCCGAACCGTTCTGCGGTCCAACTTTAGATCAGAACTCCAGAGTTCGGAATCTGGATGGCCTGCGGAGGAAGAAGAAGCGCTCTCTGTCTAATGGACAAAGTTTCTTCATCTTCATCATCATCGCATCAGCTGCGGCCAGAGAGGAAGATGCGCATCATCATCATCATGTCGGTCTGCCTGGTTCCGCTGGTCTCCTGCAGCGCAGAGACGCCTGATGAGGAAAACTTCAACCCGCAGGTAAAGGGAGGAGAGCGGCGTTCCCACTTCCGGGCCCTGGCTCAAAGTTCCCTTACAGTTTAGTTCCCAGTTCAGTTCCCTCCTGAAGTCATGAACATCTGGTTGATCTGCTGCTGAGGATTTTCTCCCTCAGGAGTTCCTGATGGTTCCCCTGACCCGTTCCTCCAGGTCCGGTTCGGTTCTATTGCTGAGTAAATTTTTCTCCTCTCTGTCAGAGCAGGAATGTTGATGTGAACCATCTGCTGCTGGAACCGGGTCCAGTTCAGCCTGTGACCTGAAAACGTGTGTGTGTTCTGGTAGGAGTGGCTCCGTCGTTTCGGCTACCTGTCCCGGTCCAGTCTCCAGATGTCCGGCCCGCTTTCGGTCCAGATTCTGTCCAGAGCCGTCAGCGACATGCAGCGCGTCTACGGCCTGGAGCCGACCGGCCGCCTGGACGCCGCCACGCTGACGTAAGCTCCGTTACCATGGCAACCATCTGCAGGCCCAACACGGCCTTTAACCTTTTAAACATTTCCCTGTTCTGACTGCAAACTTTAATTATTTTATTTAATTTGGATCGGAGCACCAGAGGAAAGCTTTGAGGTTGAAGGCAAAGATCAGGCGCGGAGCTATAGGGGGGCGGCTGGGTGCCCATGAGGGCCCCGGGTCTGGAGGTGGCAGGGAGGAAGGAATGGGTTCAAGTCGCTTTGAGGTCTGACTATAGACGGAGAAAGAGCGCCCTCGCCTGTTCAGAAAGGTTTATGTAATGTTACAGTTACTGTCCCTCAATGGTATATATAGTAATCAGTCCCAGTGACTGTTTCACTCACGATGTGCTTCCTGGGTAAACGTCAAACAACAAACGCGGCCCAGGCCAAACCCCCCGCCCCCCGGCCCAACAATGACGCTAGTGGCAAAGATTCAAAGAAAATCTGAAAAGTGTGGTGTGCTTTTATATTCATGAATATTAGAGGCGGTGTGTGTTTCAATAAGTGAAACTTTTCATTTTAAAGTCATCAAAGTTCAGTCTTTGTTAGCACATCGGCCTGCCATGTGTATGTAAACATGTGAGCTGAGCTGTGTGTGTGGCGCAGGGCGATGCAGCGGCCTCGCTGCGCCCTCCCCGACAGGACGCCTGAGGACGGGGCCGGCGAGGTCAGGACGAGGCGCTTCGCCCTGACGGGTCAGCGCTGGGATAAGGAGCAACTCTCCTTCAGGTTGGTTTCCCCGAGTCTGAAGCAAAGCCACGTTTCAGCCCAAAGGTTCCGGTTCTGCTGGTTCCGGTTCTGAAGGCGTCTGTCCTGCTCTGCCAGCATTCTGGAAGAGCGGATCCCACCCTCACTGGGTCTGAACCGGACCTCCAATGCAATCCGCCGGGCCTTTGGTGTGTGGAGCAGCGTGACGCCACTGTGCTTCCAGGAGCGACCTGCGGGGGACGCCGCTGACATCTTGCTCCTCTTTGCCTCTGGTTTCCATGGCGACATGTCCCTGTTTGACGGCAAGGGCGGGTCGCTGGCCCACGCCTTCTACCCCGGGCCGGGAACTGGCGGAGACATGCACTTCGACGCCGACGAGCCGTGGACGCTGGATGCCCAGAACCAGGAAGGTCCGATACTGGGCGGTTGCAGTCGGGCTGCCCATCCTGTAACGTTTCCATGACAACATTTGTTTCTGTCACCTGTGCTGCAGGTATCGACCTCTTCCTGGTGGCGGTGCATGAACTAGGCCACGCTCTGGGCCTGGAGCACTCAGAGAACCCCGCCGCCATCATGGCTCCTTTCTACCAGTGGAGCAACGCGCAAAACTTCAGCCTGCATGGCGACGACATCGCAGGGGTCCAGCGCATGTATGGTGAGGCGCTGCAGGCAGGGAGGTCAGCAGGTCAGGAGGTCAGGGGTTCAGGAGGTCAGTAGGTCAGCAGTTCCTGCTTCAGTCAGGTCTGGAGTGTTTTGCTAACCATCTGCTTGGCATTCTGCCCTGTTGCTAAAGTTTTGATCAATAAATGTTTTGTTATAAATCAGTTGTGGAGTTCCTCAAGGCTCCGTTCTGGAGCTGCGCCCCCTGGCTCTCACTATGGGTACTACAATCTACTGCAGCGTTTCTCAAACGTTTTCTGGCTGAGGAACACCTTAACCCGTGTAACAGTCACAGACCAGCTAACCTGAAATCGACTCCGCAAAAACACATCTAAATTACACTAAACAAAAATATAAAGCCCCGTGTCAAATATAAGAGTTTTATTAACATTTGGGTTACACAATATATAGAGAAACTCAAACTATATTTTCAGTAATTACTGATCTTCATATCGGCATTGATATCATCGTGGTTCTGCCGTTTGTAGCGGATTGACAGTCATGATCAGGGTCAGGATGAGGAGTCTGATTCTGACCCAGTCGGCTTCCCGTAGCGGACACAGACAGTCTGATGACTGGAGACATCATGTGACGTGTTGGGGCCTTTTATTGTCCAGTTGTTTTCATCTTGTCTGCTCACCCAGTGGACATGTCCCACAATGCACTGAGTAAATAACTCACTGAGTGATGCTCACTGACAGCAGCTTGGATTAAAAATTATACACAGATCAAGAGAAATATTAGTTCAGCAAATGTTCATTTACTGTTGTTACCTCCACATGGCAACAATATCTGACACGGGCCTTTATATTTTTGTTCAGCATATAATTCAACCTGAAATTACAATATTGTCTGTGACATTCTGGCAACTTGTCCAGGTGACCCCGCCTCTCGCCCGGAACGTTAGCTGGAGAGGTACCAGCACCTCCCGACCCCACTAAGGGACAAGAGTGTAAAGAAAATGGATGGATGAAAATATTTTCTTCCTAATGAAGTGGTGCTGTTTGGTAAATGTGAACACGTCCACTTGGCATGTTGAGTTATTTACTGGGTCTGAAAGTGTCTAAGCTTTCTAATGAAGTCATGGAAATAAAAAAACAAGTTGTTCTTTACTGTTATGTGCATTAAAAACATTTAGATCTATTTATGATTTGGAAGCACAATTAAAGAAAAATAGACTTGAATTGCTTTAGCAGAAATAAAAAATAATTTTCTGCTCCTTTAAATTTAAAAACAATTAATTTCTATCAGTTGTATTAATTTAATTTTATATTTTTTAATTAAATAAAAACAATACCTATTCACCTGAAAGCAGAGCATCATTCATTACCAAAGCCATACAAACAAAGAACAATTCTGACTAACTGGGTCGATTCCAACCACATAGAACCGTTCAAAGGAATCTGTTCGCTACTGAAGGACAGCAGCTTCAGATTCCTCTGGTCAGATAATATACCTGGATCAGAACCGGATCCAGTGAAGCTAAAGACCACAGAACCACTCAGGAGTCTTCATCAGAGATCCATTAGGAACTGATGGAGATAACAGATGAGTCGGATCAGAAACGCATGTTCATGTGATTCTGAACGTGACGACAGATTCAGAGAATCTAAGGAATCTGAGAAAATTCACACCAGCGCCCCAAACAGGAAGTGCACTTTTCCTGTTTTCCTCCTCAAGCTGTTGAGGTGACCCGGTTCTATTGGCTCGTATGATCCGACATGCTTACAGCCGGCCAGAAATAAAGGGATCAGGAGCTGCAGGACGCCGCATGTCTGGACAGCTGCATGTGGCTCTGCAGGCATCCTGTTCTGTTCTGTTGGGTCGGGTTCTGTCCGTCGTTCCCTCAGGTTCTGTTTTGCTCTCTTCTTCTTCAGGTCCTCCTGTGGTCTCTGATGCTCCACCCACTTCTCCTCCCACGCCCCCCTCCACATCCTCCTCACCCACCCACTCAATGCCTGATCCCCCCGACCCGACCCAAACCAACCCGGATCCAACCCCCACCCCTCCTCTGGCCACGCCTACCTCTCATCTGACTTTGCCCATCACCACCTGGACCGGGCCGGACCCGGTCACGCCGGCGGTCAGGAGAGACGCCCCGCCCAGCATCTGTGACGGAGACTTTGACACGGTGACGTTGCTGCGGGGCGAGATGTTCGTCTTCAAGGTGAGAGCCGACCCTAAACCCCGGCTCGGCTTCCAGAACCTGAGCAGTAAGCTGTGGCTGTTTGCAGGGCCGCTGGTTCTGGAGGGTCCGGAGGAACCGGGTCCTGGAGAATTACCCCATGCCCATCTCCGTCTTTTGGAACGGTCTCCCTGACGACATCGACGCCGCCTACGAACGACACGACGGGAAATTTGTCTTCTTTAAAGGTAGAGACTTCCTGCTGCTTCCTTTCTCCGACGCCATAGTGGAAAGGTTTCTCAACATGAGGGGAGGGACCCAGTGTGGCTCCGGTGTGTCGGGACTCCAGAGGAGCCGAGCTGCAGGAGGAAAACACGGAGTTAGAGTTCTCTCTGCTGTACTAACCGCAGAAATGAGCAAATTAAAATTACAATAATACATTTGTTTAATGGAAACACAGCAATTTAAAAAAACTCAAGCAAAATGGGAATGGAAACTCTTTTGTCACAAGTCACATGACCAGCAGCGGCACGTTACCATTGGGCCAGAAGGCGGGCCCTTTAACCCTTTATTTCAGGCCGGCTGTAAGATCCTGTCTGTCCCCCTGTCTGTCCCCCCGTCTGTCCCCCCGTCTGTCCTCCCGTCTGTCCCCCCGTCTGTCCCCCTGTCTGTCCCCGTCTGTCCCCCCGTCTGTCCTCCCGTCTGTCCCCCTGTCTGTCCCCCCGTCTGTCCCCCTGTCTGTCCTCCCGTCTGTCCCCCTGTCTGTCCCCCTGTCCTCCAGGCGACAGGTTCTGGCTGTTCCGGGAGGCCGACGTTCTGCCCGGCTATCCTCAGCCACTGCATCAGTATGGCCGAGGAATCCCCGCCCATCGGATCGACACCGCCATCTGGTGGGAGCCCAAAGAGTTCACCTACTTCTTCAGCGGCGACAGGTAAGCCCTGCGGCGCCCGCAGACGCTCCTGCCGCCCTGAGTCATCAGCTGCTGCTTGTCTGCAGGTACTGGCGCTACAACGAGGAGACACGCAGCGCAGACCACGACTTCCCCAAACCCATCAGCAGGTGGGGCAAGATCCCGGCCTCGCCCAGGGGAGCCTTCCTCAGCGACGATGGAGGTACTGCTTCCTGTTTGTAGCTCCGCCCCCAACCACCAGAGAAGGAAGCTGGAAACCAGAGCCGCTAGAGGAGCAGAGCCTGGTCAGAACGGTTCTGATTGGACTCCTTCAGGTCGGTTCTGACCTGACCAACGTTTGGGACTTGAGTCGTTGATAAACCAGGTCTGCTGCTGGTTGTTGTGAACAGCGCCCCCTTGTGGCCCTGCCACCATCAGCAGCTGTTCGCGTCGCATTAGAAAAGGAAAACGTGGAATTTGAAATAATGCCACAAAAAAGTTTTTACGCTCGCATGAGGTGGATGGAAACAAGTTTACTGACATAGCCAACATTCCCAGTCCAGACCTGCAGCAGGGTGGACTCTCTCTGGTCCATGGTAGTTCCAACCTCTACTTCCTGTTTCCAACCTCTACTTCCTGTTTATTGCAGCCTTACGTAGCATCAGCATTTCTGTGTCACCTGGTTGATTCGCTCCAATGCAGCAGATGAAAAGACGTTTAATTCTCTTCTTCTCTGTTTCCTTTTTTAACTGCGACATTCTGACGGACAAGCGGCTCGTGGTTCTGATGTTCTTCTTCTTCTCCTGCCTGCAGCCTCCACCTACTTCTACAAAGGCTCCAGTTACTGGAGGTTCGACAACCGCCGGACGGAGGCGGACCGCGGCTACCCCCGCTCCATCCTGAAGGACTTCATGGGCTGCGTTGGGGCCCCCGAGCCGGACCCGGACCCCGACCCAGAAACCAAGCGGAGCCCAGGGACGGAACCGGTCCAACCCCCGCAGCCGACCGAACCGGGCCACGGGCCGGACCGGGAGCTCAGACCCGGCAGCACAGAGGACCATCCGGACCAGGAAGTGAACATGGTGGTGACAGTGGCCGACAGTGAGTCAAAGGTCATGACCCTGGTCATGGTGACGGCGCCGCTGCTGCTCATCCTGTGCATCCTGGTTCTGGTCTACGCCATCCTCCGGACTCTGCAGAACAAGGAGCCGTCCCGGGCCCTGGTGCATTGCAAGCGCTCTCTGCAGGACTGGGTCTGACTCGGTCCATGGGCCAATTGGACCGCCGGTACCACCACCCGCCCCCGAGCCGTCACCACCACTCTACCACCCCTTGCCTCCTTCTTCTATTTCAAATTTGTTTAAAAGTGATGCAGCTCCAGCCTGCTCTCTGTGGGCCTTTGGCCCGATGAGGAGGCTGCCGCTGCGTTAACCATCTGGATGGCAGCGAGTTTCGGATCCGCTCCAGCCGGATCCAGCTGCAGCAGAATTGCAGAAGTCATTAGAGCTCATAGATCAGAGACGCTGCACCGTGACACAACGGCTTCACTGTTGTTTATTCAACTAAAAACTCTGATTTTATGTGACAAACAATCAGGAAGTGGATAAGACCAGAAGGTTCCACAGCATCATGCTGCCACCACCATGCTTTAGCCTGGAGGTGGAGACTTCAGGCTGTAGGGTTTTGAGCTCTTGGAGCTGTTCAGAGCTGGGATGTTGACGCAGATCCAAACCTGGCTGTAAACAGAATCAGAACCTTCCAGTTCTGCTGTTGGACCTCTGGAACCTCTGAGACCAGAACCAGAACCACTCCAGTTGGATCATGTGTTTTCCAGTTATAGAGTGCCTTGTTACAGTACAATCGACTAACTATGTTACCTTCTGTTGTTACAATAATGCTCTATATAATTAAATTATAATTAACTTAAATTATAATTTAAATTGGGCCTCTGTCTCTTTAAAAGCTCCTGCTCTTCCTCCAGGAAGTTGTCCCAACATGGCTCCTCTATTAACCCTTTAGCATTTTTACCAGTGCTGCTCTGAGCAGCAGCTCCACCTGCTGCCTGCTAATTGCTGCTGGCTAGTCTGAAGTAGCTGAATGGGGAGGAGCTGCGCCTTGAAGGCGGGGCTAGGTCCACCCAGGCGTTTTGCAGCTGAATGGTTAACATTGGAGATTAAAGGATTTTTAAAAGATGAAAGAGCAACACTGCAGGGAGACAACAGAAAGCAGTTGGTTTTTCATGATGCTGCCCCTTTAAGTCCCACACAGCTCTGACTGCAAAGAAATCTAAAAAACCACACATCATTTTCCTTCCAGCTCTGCTTCTTGGCGGTTCGTCTCATAAAACACGTCAGTTTGTGTCTGAAACAAGAGGAGGGAAAAGTTTAAACGGTATGAGAGGAGAGAAAGTTTTCTAGCACTTAATGCCCCGCCTCACCCGATTCAGTCACATGACTCGCTAATGGTGGACGCCTGCAGCGTCATGGAAACGACTCTTAAAGTTATTGATCATATTCTCTCTCTCTCTCTGATGGCTTCATTGTTTCCATCTCTCCATTTTCTCCTCCTCTGATGGAAAGTCCACTCTGCCTTTTCAACCTCTGACTCCCAGCTGACCTTGGTTTAACCTTCATTTTCATTATTGTTCAGTTGACCTCTGACCCACAGGCTTTCCATGCATAATTTTCTTGCTATGAAAACAAATATCTCCGTTAGGGGCTTTTATTTTGTAGTTTTTCTGCAGTGGTAGATCGTGACGACGATGCTGCATGCAGGTCATGTTCTGAAAGGCCTGTGGACTGACTAGAGGACATCTGAGGGTTCACAATAAAATCAACGCTGAAAGACAAAGATGTCTTCCTGGCTTCTTTCTGTTCCTGATTCAACTTTTCACCACAGGAGGGCGCTGTTGTTGCAGGGAAATAATCTGCAGATTTCAATGGGGAAAATAAAGACTTTTAAATTCAAACTGTTCAGTAGAGATCAGGTCCTTTATCAAGCCCAGGACTCTGAGCAACAACAGAATCTATCTGGAAGAAACAACCAGGTGGATTTGCTAAGTGGGTCAAGTCATCTTCATAGCCATCAAAGATTTTTCCGCATTAAATCTTACATCTTTGTGCCTATTGTCTGCGATTATTATTTTATTTTGGTAATAAAATATCTTAGCCTGACCTTAACATTGTATTTGCTTCACTTGCCTCTGCCGCCATTTTTTTTAATTGCCTCTGACTTGTCCCTCCGTCGGCTCTGTACATAGACATAATATAAGGACCCCGTCTGGAGGGGGCCGATTATGTTTTCTCATACACTTCAGCGCGCCTTACGCTCCTTCACCTCACGCACATAATGAGGTAAATCTAGCGCGAGTTTCATCCTTAACGTATCCTTGCCTCGGGGAGCAGGGGGGGGGGCGATTTATGTTT